CAGCTCCAAGACCCCAAGCAAGCTAGTGCTAGAGCAGCCGAGGAGAGCGAGCTCAGCCAAGAAACTGGGGGAGCGAACGGTCGGCCGATGATGACGATGGCGGCGGAGGACCAGGCGGCGGTGCCGCGGGTGGTCTCGATCCTGTCGGCGCTGCTGGAGCGCGTGGCGGAGCGCAACGACGTCGTCGCGGCGGTGGAGCGGCGCATACGGGACGTGGAGGAGCAGGAGGAGGAAGAGCATGATCAACAAGAAGACGGCAAGGAGTCGACGACGACGATGACGAAGAAGAAGAAGGCGGTGTCGGCGTTCCAGGGGCTGACGAAGCCGGCCATCTCCGTCGGCGGCTACCTGGAGCGCATCTTCCGGTTCGCCGGCTGCAGCCCCTCATGCTACGTGGTGGCCTACATCTACCTCGACCGCTTCCTGCGCCGCCGCCCCGCCCTCGCCGTCGACTCCTTCAACGTCCACCGCCTCCTCATCACCTCCGTCCTCACCGCCGTCAAGTTCGTCGACGACATGTACGTATCCAATCCACACCATCAAAATTTCGGTCCCAAATTTAACAACAGACACCGAATTACACCATCTGCATTCCTGTTTCAGCCAGTAGGATTAAAGCGATCTACTACCACTAGATAAACCGAACCATAATTGAGGTGGTTTAGTGCGGCATCATCACTTAATTGAGGTGGTAGATTAAATCTGCAGTCCAATTGGGCTCCGAGTCTGATCTGATCTGACTTTGCGATCCCTTTGTCGTGTCGTGCCGAGCACACGACCAACCTCACGGACCGCCACTGTGTGTGTACCAGCCATGCGGGCCCGGCCTGCTCGCATTTTTTTCCCACCATTATTTGGATTTCCAACTGGCACGCCACCAACCGGAGCCAAGCTATCCATTGCCGTTTCTAGCTGGTCACGAGGACAGCTCACGGATGTCCAATTCGATGTCTTTGCCACCACCGCAATTCACCATTGCTGTCAAAACAAGCTTGCTGTTGTTGTTGATGCGTCGATCGTGCGCAAAGCTTTCGCGTGTCCTCGAAGAGAAAATTTGACGAATGTTTGTTTGTTGTGAATGCAGATGCTACAACAACGCCTACTTCGCGAGGGTGGGAGGGATCAGCCTGATGGAGATGAACTACCTGGAGGTGGACTTCCTCTTCGGCATCGCCTTCGACCTCAACGTCACGCCCGCCGTCTTCGCCTCCTACTGCGCCGTGCTGCAGACCGAGATGGCGTACCTCGAGCACCCGCCGCCGTCCATCGACGCCGTCTCCCCCACCAGCTTGCTGCAGCACTGCTTGCCCGACCAGGAGGTCGACACCGCCGCCGCCGCCACCGCCGCCACCAAGTCCGGCTGCCACCGACACCAGCAGCAGCTTACCGTCTGATCGATCGGGCTCTTCCTCTCTCTCTCTCTCTCTCTTTTGTCCCTGCGGTGTCAACTGTCATGGTCTCTTCTTTTTTCCTTTTCTTTTCCCTTTACCGTTCTTGGTACATAGGTGTTGGTTAGTTAGGATGGATTTCGCCATTGTTGGAAGGATCGATCATGAATGGAAGAACGGATCGGATTGAGATTGTGCGTGGCCATTGTTTAACGAGCTGAGATGCTGCTGATCTAATCTGTGTCACTGTGCATGTGAGTCGCAGCACACTGCATCTGCATGCTTTGCTTGCCTCCTGTTTGTTTCTTTTCCTCTGCTCTTCTTTTTCTATTTCCCCCCGCTTTCTGGAGCGAACTATTCGCCGGGGAAAAGGTAATTTACTATGATTGGATTGATGGATCGGACATCGTGGGATGGTGGAGATTGGAGAACAAGCGGGTTTGATTCTCAGAACATGGCATGTTTCTTACTATGCGCTGCATGGTGTGTGTATAACTGTATATGCAGTGTCATTAGGACAGAATTCGCCTCACCGGAATGCGGCGGAAAATGACGGCCATGGGTTTATTTGCTTCCCAGGACAGTGAGTAATAATTCCCCTCGGCGTTCCGAACGTGCAGGAAATAGGAACTCTGAATTTATGAGCAGAGTGGTGGAAATGGCAGTCACTCTGACTGAATTGTCTCTGAGGCAACGAGTTGAAACTGTCAGTGACAGATTCAGTCAGATGTTCTGACCAGAAATAGCTTAGTCAGAAATTTCACTGGTACATGATATAATCCATGCTAAAAGCATCGATGCTTCTTCAGACGCCTTTTATACAGAATTAAAAAAAATGTTCAGAGTTTAGTTCCCTCTTTGCAATGACAATGCAGTTAGCATACACAACTTCTGCGAAAAGAACACCACAAGAGACAAGTAGAAGTCCAATGCACAAAGGATGAGACCCTACAAGGAAAAGGGGCGAGCATCTTCGGTGGTGTGCAGGCGAGGAGGAGAAGATTTGATGATCAGAAACAGTAGACGCATCGCATCAAGGCGCCGCGGACTGCCAGTGAAAATACAAGGATGGATCGGAAGGAACGTGGTGTGCATGTAGATGTAGGGCTAGTGGCTGCGCCTTTTGCGCTGTAGTAATATATAATGCCTTTGGCCTTAATGCCGTGAGCTGGATTAGAACATGGCTGGTCACATGAAATTCCCAAGGATAAGCCAACAGCAAGAGAGAGAGAGAGAGAGAGAGAGAGTACTCCCTCTCAACTTTTTCCGAAAAATGAAAATCATTAGCACACAGTTTATTACTTGTGTCAAGAAACGTCTTATATTGATGCAGCACTACACAATGTTGAAGCTGATGAATGTTTTGCTTGTATTAGTACGTATAAATAATCATCATTTCCAACGCCTGTAAGTTTTCCCTTCTTCAGTTCTTTGTTTCTCTACATGTGTAACAAGGATTGGCATGTGGGTACTCGTGGGGGCACTAGCTAGCTCAGCCAATGCATGTGATGTGCCCATTGCCAAAGCCAGCGAGTGGCATTTGAACCCTGTGACTGTGAGTCCTGCCCTACCCCATGCGTGGGGAATCTGAGGCCTAAAGCATCACAGGAAGCGAACCATTTGGGGACTGTGATGCACGATTCGTTGGCCATCGGTTTGTGTCTTTCCTTTTCTTTTCTTAAAGTCTTTCATTTCCTTTGGCTGTTTTCCTGTGACCTGAAGAAATGGGGGTGGGTTTCGGTTGGGAGCAGTGTTGTGACAGTTAATCGGGTGAGTAGGCAACTACAGAAGTTCATGAGGACCACAAATGGAATTTACCACTCAAGTATGGTAACTTTTCATTTCAACTCACGAGATTTGGCTCGTCCGTCGGCGCATAGGGAGGTAGGAACGGACGAGACTTGCCTGCTCCCTGCGCGTGCTCCAGTCCGTGCTCCCGTGTACGTGGCTTGATTTGATTGGAACAAAATAAGGCATGGCCCCACCCCCTTAAAATCTGGGGGGGGGGGAGATGATTAGATTAGAAAGGAAAAAGAAAAAAGGACAGCCGTAGGATGAAGTGGGAGCACGGATGGGAGTATGGAGAGGGAGCAGGCAAGCCGGATCCGGTAGGAACACTGTTGCATGATTGCCACTGTTTTGCGCCAAGGCAAGTTGACTGTCAGACTGTGAAGCTACTCCACAATTGGGTCTAGAAACGATTGTCAGTGGATTAACAGTAGGACTTTGCTGTTACTACCATCCAGTAGATCATCGACACATGGCGTGGAACGTGGAAACACTTCCACGTGTGTACCCAAGGCATCCAGGGTGACCAGCTCAATACAAGGTGACAAAAGGTGTCCCTGTCATTTATGCTTCCGGTTGGCATGTCTTTCGGAGAAGAAGAATAAAATCTGCCTTTCACTTAGCAATAGCATCACTGTCCTGATTTATACTCCCTCTCTTTTTATTTACTATGCATACTATCTTTGTCTCAAGTCAAACTTTGTCAAATTTTACAAAATATATTGACATCTACAATACCAAAATGAATGTATTTTTGCATCATACGTATTTGTTATTGTGGAAGTTTATATATTTTTTACTATAAACTTGGCCAAACTTTATAAAGTTTGACTCAAGTCCAAACTAATATGTAGGGTAAATAAAAATGAAGGGAGTATAAACTTTAACATGACAGCGAATATGGTCAAAATATATTCATTTGCTGCTACCTGCCATCTTCAGTGTTACCCCTACGAAGGCGGGAAGCAATTCCTGCTGGAAATATGCACTAGAGGAAATAATAAAAATATCACTGTTCTATTTTCCCATCCAAAATTAAGTTTATATTTCTTTGTTATAATTGCATTGATTCTTGAATGAGAGATTCAAACTAAAATCTAATTGCATGTGTAGATTAATAAACGTCAAACAAATCCCTGTCTAGCTTCTAGACTAACTAATGTATTGTTGATGGTGTTTGTTTTCCTAAACATGGGCATAGTTATTGTAACAAGAAATGCGGGCAACAATGAGATCATATTATTAGGGCAGCAATGGTGTTGGATAGACCCAACTTTAATGAAATATTGTCATATCACGCAGTCAATATGTTGCTTGTATTTTCTTCATAATGTGTTAATGTTTACTTGTGTCCTTAGGGCATCTCCAACGCCGACCATCAAACCGCCAGTAATCGTTCAGACCGCGCGGTCCGGTCATGTTCTGCCATCCAAGGCGGTCTTGTATCGGTACTGTTACGGTTTCCGATGAACCTGTAGGTGCGAGGTATGTCTACCAAAGGAGGGGGTGAATGGGAGTTTTAAATATTTTTTTTTGGAAAGTTCAAAACTGTCGGAACCCAACAACAGAGTGAAAGAAAACAGAGTACAATGAGTGAATAAAACCTAACGAACAAAAACTAAGACATAAATTGAAAGGAATCACATGACCGAAACATATCATACATCACTAAGCGAATGTAAAAAAGTGGGGTAGAGGTGACCAGTGATGCTCGATGGCGACCAGGTATTTGGTAGACTAGTCCGCCCTTCTGCAAGAGGACTATGTCTGGTTGGAGGGGTTGTGATTTAACACAGAAGATAAACTCTCTTCACCCTATTCTCCTCGACAATTGACTCGTCAATAAATGTCGATTACTCGTGGTAGATACTTGAGGTGATCTCTGAACCTTTACATAGTTCTTCTTTGAGAAACACAATCACTCTTGGTCTCTAAAGAAGTTGACACCTAACCATCTACAGAGTTCGCACCTTCAAGAGTAATAGGAGGAGTATACTGGACTTAGATTTGAGTGATGCTAATGTAGCGACCACGATCCCAATGGACCGAAGTCTCTGTGCTTAAGTGTCATCCCTGGGTAGGTATGCTGACACACACAGTACTCGAGGAATTATAACAGAGTTCAATCACATGCTTCTTACATTGAGGTCCTCATAAAGAGTATCTGTTACACAAATAATATGGTTGAAGGCCATCTAAACTAAATAACTGCGGAAGCTTCGAAGATAAATGATTCCATCAACTCCAGCGGCATAGCTGAGTGCATGACAATGACCTATGGCACCTTATTCTTCGTCGGTAAAGTTTGCAACATGAAAAATTGCAGCCGTGTAGGTCAGCACATGTAATATGCTGGCAGAGTTACACTATAGAGCAAATTAATGCAAGAAACTATATCTACATGCATATTTGGCTGGTGGAGGTTCTAAGTTTAATGGTTTGCATAAAGCTAATTTTTCCCTAAAACAAAGGAACAAATTTTATTTACTATAAAGTTTGTACCAATGATTGAGAAGGTTCCTCCAACTCAAATCCCAACATTAACCAAGTATCCTCATTAAACCCAATTCATTAATTAAAGAGTGATGAGATCAACAATAATATTCACTCCGGGGACACGGCTAACCATGATTAGTTTATACACTCTGCAGAGGTTGCACACTTTTTCCCACAAGACTCGACCACATCCATGATCGGAAGATCAAGACATAGTCTTTCTGAAGCATTAACTCTCTACTCTGGGTAGACCGGTACACCTACTTTCCCCTACATCTGCTAGTCCACCTCTACAAGAGCTCACACAACTTACTCAACTATGCCAGAGCCCATAATGGCTTGTGGCTGCACATGGAAGTTTCTAGGCATGAAATATCATATGATCCCTTTGAGCCTGGGTGGCGAACCGAGGGAAAATCACACGGGTACTCTGGGATTCACATGGGCAAGCACTGGTTTCTCCAGGTGCCCCAACCAATCCACCCAGATGTGTATTAAAGTTGCCACCTTAATGTTGTTCAAAAATATTATCTCTCACAACTTCCATGTACATCACGATCCAATCCCCGTCTACGAGCAAGGCTAAGCAATAATTGAGCATAACGTATATTCCCGGGGTGATCAAAGGTAATAGGTTCCTAACTCAAGTACAACAACCAAACCACATGCTCTCAATCCTACTCATGCAAATATTTGAGGGGCAAAACTAATGCATAGTAAAA